AGGATGAGTAGCAACAAGAATTCTCATACACTGCTGGTAAACATGTAATAGTACAAACATTTTGGAAATTGTCACGATCTAGTAAAAACTGCTGTTTTTTTTATAGGAAGCTTCTAAAATAGTTCACACTGATCACTACCCTCCTGTTTTTTTTACACTCTAGTGTGAATCCTCTCTCCTCGAAAGAGGAATGGACTAGCTTCTAATGAAGGTGGTGGTTGTTGTTGCTAGGTGCCCTCGAGTCAGCTCCAATTCATAGTGACCCCATACACAACAGAACAAAACTGACTGGTCCTCTGCCAGACTCATGATCCCTGCTATACCTGAGCCCATCATCATTGTAGCCACTGTGTCAATCTATCTTGTTGAGGGCCTTCCCCTTTTTCACTGACCCTCCACTTTACCTAGCATGATATCCTTCTGCAGGGAATGGTTCCTCCTGACCAAGTAGGTGATACGAAGTCTGGCCATTCTCACTTCAAGAAGCATTCTGGCTGCACTTCTTCCAGGACAGGTTTGTTAGTTCTTTTGGCAGTCCATGGTACTTTCAGTACTCTTCACCAACACCACAACCCAAAAGCATCAACTCTTCTTCAGTCTTCTTTGTTCATTGTCCAGCTCTCACATGCATGATGCGATTGAAAATACCATGGCTTTGGTTAGGAGGACCTTAGTCTTCAAGGAGACATCTTTGCTCTTCAGCACTTTAAAGAGGTCTTTTGCAGCAGATTTGCCTGTGCAATACGTGATCTGATGTCATGACTGCTGCTTCCATTGGTGTTGACTGGAACCAAGTAATGTGAAACCTTTAACAACTTCAATCTTTTCTCCATTTAATGGAGTTGCTTATTGGAACAGGAAATGACAAAATGATGGAATGTCACTTCCAACGTTAGGTTATAAAAGACCATAATGCCCATCTTTTTCGCTCTTTCTCTGGCTCTTCTTGCTTGCTTGCTCTGATGAAGCAGGCCAATGTGTTGTGAGCTACCTAATGGAGAGACTCATGTGGCAAGATACAGAAGGCAGCTTCTGGTCCACAGCCCACAAGGACAGCATCCTGCCAACAACCGTGTGATCTTTGAAGCAGATTCTTCCCCAGTGGAGCCTTGAGATGACTGCAGCCTTGCATGTGACCTTAAGTTAGAAGACTCAGCTAATCTATGTTTAGGTACCTGACCCATAGAAACCCATCGCTATCACCCTGGTCTAATTCCCTATCATCTGTGGCCTGGATCATTTAATTAGTCTAATTTATCTTCCCTTCATTTACCCTGTCCTCCTACATTCTATTATCACCAAATGTCAGGGTGATACCTTTAAAACTAAGCTCTTAAAACCCATGAAACAGCTTTCCATTTCAGAGTCAAAAATCAAAGCCTTTTATTGTCTTCAATGCCCTACATGATCTTCCTCCTTTCTGACCCCATCAATACTACTTTCCTCCTTGCTCTTTGTAGCCACATTGGCCTCTTTGCTCTTCCTCAAATACCTCAGGTATGCTCCTGTCTCAGAGCATGTGCACAAGCTGTTCCCGCCTTTCCAGTAGCCTTTCTCAATGGAGGAGTCTCTGGATAGTGCAAACAGTTAATACACTTGACTGCTAACCAAAATGTTGGAGGTCCAAATCTACCCAGAAGCACCTCAGAAGAAAGACCTGGCAACTGACTTCTGAAAAATAGGCCACTGAACTCTCTATAGAGAACAGTTCTACTCTGAGACACATGGGGTCACCATGAGACTGAGTCCACTCAAAGGCAGCCATTTTTGTTTTTCAAATAACTTGCACTTCAAATGAAATGTGGCCTACAGGAGAAGACACCAAAAGGAAAATTAGTATTTACTGAGCAGTTCTTTAGTGGTAAGAATTGTGCTAAAGATTTTGTATAAACCAAAAACAAATCCACTGCACATTTGTCAAACCCATTGCAAATCACCTACAAGGCTGATTCAAGAGATCTGGGATGGGGCTTGAGAATACGCTTTTCAAACAAGTTCTTAAAAGCTGTTGATGCTATTAGTCGGGGACCAGACTTTGAGAACCACTGCCCTAACACATCCATTGTTATGTACTGTATTAAATTCTCTCCTATGTATCCAGAATGATAAATGATATATATTAGCCTTGGGAGAACTGAGAAAATAGTCACTTGGAGCATTTTTTGCTCTATGGAACTCTAATTGAAAAAGACTCAAATACCTTCAGGACTAACTCCTTCTTCCTCACATCTGCTCAAGTGTCAACTCCTTAGTAAGATCTCTCCCAGATGCCACCCCCCTTCATTAATAGTGTGATCTCTTCCCCACATTCATTTTCCCAACTCCTCTTACCTCACCCCAAAATACTTACAACCTCCTAGCATATTGTGATTTACTTATTATGTTTATGGTGTACTCTCTCCCTCCAACTAGAATGCAAAATCCAATATGCAAGGATCTTTTTTCCACTGATATACTACAAGGGATAAGCAGGGTTTTTTTTTTTTTTTTTTAATATAAATGAAATATCTGAATTGAGAGTAAATTGTATCCATTAAACTCCTCAGCAGAATATATTTAGCAACTAATTTTTTTTAAGAAATATACTAACTTTACCTGTGTTCATACGAAGACAGCACAGAGTTTAGATAAACTAAGATTCAAGTCACTATCACTATACACTAGCTAGATATTTACCCCTCTGAGACTCAGTATCTTTAAAACAGTGATAACAACAATAGATGATTGTTAGAATTAAATTAGACAAATGTGCAGTGGGTTTGTTTTTGGTTTATACAAAATCTTTAGCACAATTCTTATCACTAAATAACTGCGTAATAAATACTAATTTTCCCTTTGATATCTTCTTCTGTAGCCCACCTTTCACATTTGAAGTGCAAGTTATTTGAAAACCAATGCTACAATTATATTCAAAAGCTCACTTCTTTTAAATAAAAATCTCTAATAACTCAGTTTAAGCATAGGCACTGAAACAAGGCGGGCTTGTGCTTACTCACTGGTCTGCACTGAACACGTTCCCTTGTTACCCTACCAAGAGGGACCAGGTCTTTGGGAGCAAGGTAAGCACAGGCGTAGCACAGAGTAGCAGGCCGGAAGAGCAGGAGGAAGGGG